GTTGTTTTTTGTCTGTAATCACATAATTTAATAATTATTCTTGGATTGGTAATCATTCTCAGGAGGAAAACAGTATTTATTTTATTTAGATTTCTTTCAAATTAAAACTGTTTAGCTTGCATTCTCTTGTCCCACTGTGTTAAAAAAAAACATTTTAATTTACATTTTGGGATCTGAACATGAGACTAATAAAATTATCAACTCTGTCATCCTTCTGCCACAAGTCTCCTGGAATTATTCATCCAAACTCATTTTAATATGAAAATAAATCCCCTTAAGCCTAAGTAAGATTGTCTTTCAGATTTTTATCATGTAATTTCAGGGCCATTTAGTTTGTATGAAAACCATTATACTGTGTTCACACCGAACACGTTTTCAGCATCAACAACACGTCAAATGCTTCAAGTTGGACGCTCAGACGCTCGTCAAAATTGCTCTAGATGTGTGTCACGTGTCAAGCGGGTCAGGAAGCRCCYCTTGTTCYTCTGCCAGTCTCTGTACAATGGGGGATGAAATTAACAAAGTGGCTTTGCTTTATTTACTGACAGCAAGAGTATATTGAGCTCAATCCATAATGAATTCACCAGATAATTCAGAGGAGTTCCGGGTTTGGTAGTTTCACCACTCCAGGAGCTGCGCACTGAAGAGGTTCACTTTCAGAACTATTTTTGTCCTGAACCCAGTTTGATGAGCTGCTGACCYGCATCTACTGCCAGGACGMCAACTACAGGTGCTCTATTTCAGCTAAAGAGTACCGGTCCATCTGGTTAGTGGGCACCATTCAGGAGACCATCCCGTCAAAACATGCACCGTTACGTCACATAGCAGAGTCTCTCTGATATGTTGATGCTAAGTGTCGAGCTGCAAAAATTCAGATTTTCCAACTCATGCATTGGACGCATGTGACGTGCATCAAACACTTGAAACACTTCAAAACGCAACATACCACAGCACTTTCCATCACCTCTTGATGCGCRTCYACCATAGACTTTGCATGTAAACCTGACGCCCCTGACGSTCAAAATGCATGTGGTGTGAAYGCARCATTAGAGTGACAAGCATAAACTGAGCTAAGGTTAATGTACAATAATCTTTTGTTTTGTTTATTGTTAAACAACCAAGTGATCAGTGAAACAATCACAACTTGAAACCAATTGACACTAAAGCTAATCAAGTATAGATATAGCAAATTGTTATATTGTAGTTTTATCTGTTTTTTACACTCACTTGTGAGAATCTGTGTGTTTTGTTTGGTTATTTGTGTTTTTAGATCAGTCTGATTTTGTATTTTTATATTTTGTATTCTTGTACTTATGCATGTTTCAGTTTCYCAGCGTTCCCTGTGCCATTCAAAATTTTACCTTGTCAGTTTCTCTGTTTCCAAATTCAGGGGCTGTGTCCTCCGAAGGTCCAATTTATCAGCTGCTTACGTCTCTGCGCCACGACGGAGGCTGTCCAAATTAGAAAGCTCCAACAGTTGCGGCCCACAAATCACACACCCATCCCCCCTCTGCTCTCTCAGTCTGGGAGGAGGATGTGAACAGGCTGTTCAAGAAACTGAATCCACATAAGGCTGTAGGTCCAGACTGTGTGTCTCCCTCCACACTGAGACACTKCTGATGAGCTGGCCCCGGTCTTCACTGGTATCTTCAACTCTTCTCTGGAGTCATGTCATGTCCCAGCCTGTTTCAAGTCCTCCATCATTGTCCCTGTTCCCAAGAAGCCACGCMTCACAGGACTCAATGACTACAGGCCTGTGGCTCTCACGTCTGTAGTCATGTATCCCACCTCAAGTCCATCTGCAACCCCMTTTTGGACCCTCTKCRTTTTGCCTACAGAGCCAACAGGTCTGTAGATGACACCATAAACCTGGCTCTCCACTTCATCCTGCAGCATCTGGATTCACCAGGAACCTATGCTAGGATCCTGTTTGTGGACTTCAGCTCTGCTCAGCTCTTCAACACCATCCTTCCTGCTCTGCTCCAGGACAAGCTCTCTTTGTTCAACRTGCCTGAYTCCACCTGCAGGYGGATCATAGATTTCCTGAYGGRCCAGAGTCAGCRTGTGCGGCTGGAGGKCTGTGTTCTCTCCCCTCTGCTCWTCTCCCTRTACACTAACTGTTGCACCTCCAGCCATGASWCTGTAAAACTTATTGAGTTTGCGGACGACACCACCCTCATCGGGCTCMCCTTAGATGGTGATGAGTCAGCCTACAGGAGGGAGGTGGACCGTCTGGTGACCTGGTGCAGCAGCAACAACCTGGAGCTCAACGCCCAGAAAACAGTAGAGATGATTGTGGACTTCAGAAAGGCCACAGCCCCTCTGCCCACGCCCCCACCCTTAACGAAACCCCCATCACCACTRTAGCCTGCTACCGGTTCCTCGGCACCACCATCACCCAGGACCTCAAGTGGGAACCGACCATCAGTTMCCTCATCAAGAAGAAGGCCCAGCAGAGGATGTACTTCCTGCGACAGCTGAAGAAAGCTAAGCTTCCGGTCAAGCTGATGGTGCAATTCTACACAGCCATCATGGAGTCCTCTGATCCTTCATCATGGTGTCGTATACCGGGGCCACTGCAAGGGACAGGGACTCCCCTCTGTTCTGCTGCTCTTCACCTGTTCCTGATATTCTCCATATGTCCTTGAGTGTAGCTGCATCTACATTGGTGTAGTGTGCAATGGTTTCTGTTCCTGTCATCTACTGTACCTTTGAGCTTTGTTGTGTATTTTACAGGCCAGAACTACATCTGTAAGTCCTGTCACCTGTCATTAAAAACACTGCCCAGCCAAAAAAAAAGTCTCCACCTGGATTTGACTCAGGTCTATGATGTGGGGTTGCTGTAGTTGGTCAGGTCCAGGTTCAGCAACAGTTTGTGCTCAAAGACTGAGGTCAGCTGACTACYTGAATATACTGAATGACCAGGTTATTCCAGCGATAGATTTTTTCTTCCCTAATGGCATGGGCATATTCCAAGA